ACATACCACTTTGTTTTTAGACAATATTTCTTAAACAAACAATAAAAATACAACTTCAAAAACATAAATACAAACTAAAAAGTATCTTCTATTAGATAGTATAAGCAGTTTTTATAATACTGTTTGCAATTTTGGAATAATTAAGTTTTTCATAAGTTATGCAAAAATGAGCGTCTAACAAAATGGGCTCCAAAACTGACATAGTAAGCAGTAATGCCAACATTCCTATTCTATGAATAAAGATATATATATCCTATTCTGTAAAGAAAACTAATTTATCAAACTATAAACATTTAAAATGACATAATATTATCAATAATACAGTCGCTATTATTTTAATTACTCAATTTGAAAAAGAACACCGTAAGAATTTTCTTCTCGGATTCATAGAATTTGTTTTTAGCTGATTTGGTATAGGAATAAGTCACAAATATATGAATTATAAGTTTGTACTTCTTTAATTAGCTAAACAGATAACATTTTTATTAGTATTAATAAGATGCAAAGATTAGTTTCTAAGAAATAAGGGGATAATGTCGCTTTAGGAGATCTATTGAGTAACCTTCCTCTACCCTTAATTGTTTACGTAAGTTTAACCCTGTGAATAAATATGCATTACATCAATTAGATCAATTATTAGAAAGGTCAAAGAACAATTTTACTGAAATATTTAAAAGTTTAGCTAGATATAGATAGACCTGAAAATAATTTTGTTGCATCATCAAAATAATTATACGTATAGAATATTAGCACTGATTGCTAGAATGTTAAAACTTTTAGCAGCATTTGTCTTCATGTTTGAGATTCCTGTTTAACTATTTTGATAGCTCAAAATTATTTTCAGATTTGTATCGAACTAAATTTTTAGATATTTCGGCAAAATTATTCTTTCTGCATATGTTTTGAATTATTATTGTATGTATGTATTGTATATTCAACTCCAATTCTTAAATCTCAACTAGTTCATCATCCAACAACGCACAAAAAATGTTTATGCTTTTCCAACAAAAATGCGACACGAAACTTCCTTTGAACCGCCCGTCCCGTATGCATCCTGTTGTCGGAAGGGAAAAAGAGCACACTCTCTTCTTCCCCTAACTTTTCCAATATTCTCAAGTCTTTCTACTTGCAAAATTATCTTTACCTCTATACTGATGCGCCTGTATGAAAGGTATAAGCATGCTAATAATGATTTTTACCCCTTCGCTACCGTTCTCATTGGCAATTCCGCCCCCATATAATACTTACTAATGATTTACATGACACAAGATTACAAAAAAGAGAAAAGGATACGTAATACATAGTTTCTTTCACTAAAGTGAAAGATGGCTGATGTCCTTATTTGTTTTTCAAGACATAATACATATTGTTTGCTTGGAGTTTCAAGAAGTTTCAGCAATCAGAAATATAAACGTGTTTTAACAATGGAATGTGCTACGTATTACATTACCTACGTTTTGAAAAATATTTTATTTCAGTGTAATTAAATATTATACTTTCTATTATGTAAAATACCAGTATTTAAAAATTTAAACTACTATGAACATCAATACTTCATGATTTGAGTTAATATATAATTCTACATGATAATAGGATTATATAATTAATAACTTATATACTTAGTTATTTTGTACTAAGTATAATATTAGTTCTCTTAGAAAGAGAATAATGTAACATCTTTGACTCTTTCTATCAAGTAACTTAAAAAATATAATTTGAAAAATTTAAATGCACGCACGCACGCACGCACACACAAAAGAAAGGATAGTTTTGCTGAAGTCTCCAAAAATTTTGCTAGATCTAAAAATTATTTTGTTGGACTATCAAAATAATTAAGACGTTCAAACTGATTAGCCCAGGAAAATTAGATTTTTTGAATGCAAAATTGCCATAAAAATTACCTTCGCTAGAGGATGTCGATAGAACTTATATATAATATAAAATTAGGACTGCTTCAAGATAAAAAAACAAGCGTTTAGAAAAAAATGGAAAAAGAGGAAGACAGAACTGGCGAAAGAACCAGCTTTGCACAAAAGACTGCCTGTAGATTGTAAAAAGGATTTGTCATCCGAATATGACGTCTGCGGAAAAGCATTCCATCCACCAATTCCTTTTCTCACATAAACGCTTCCATGCACTATTAACTCGAACATTTCAATTCGAAATACTGATAGTATTTACCTGTACATATAGAAATATGAACGGGTGGATAAATTTAGTTTGTTCGTTATAAACGATAGCAAAAATTCAAATATATATAGGAATAAAATTTATCGTCCAAAACGAGAATTTTTCTCATTGTATTAGAATCTTGATAAAACAGTTTATCGGGAAAAAAAAGATCTTTTTTTATATTCTCTGCTCAAAATATTACAAGTTTTCGGTATACTCATTGCGAAAAGTTACCCCTCGCTTTGCACAAAACAAACAACAAGAGCTCCGAAACTTTCCAGTTTCTCCCCAGGAAGACAATTAATAGTTCAAAAATATCTCCTGGGTGATATTAACCCCTTCAGACCTTCCCCGCCCTTCTTATCCCAACTTTTTGTCCCTTAACTTTTCTCCGTAAATGCTTCGTCCTATGGGATTTTGCGCTCGTACAGCCGCGTCAAGCAATTTGTACTTTTTAGTACATATTACTCTCCTCATCGTCCTTTTTGTATCTCAGTTCTTGCTACTCTAAAAGTAAGTTAAAATATGTTGTGTGTGTATGAAATGGAAGAGTGTGTGCACATGTCCTGATAATTTTTTAGACCCACAAATACTTTTGAAAAAGTTAAACAATCTCTTTTTGCGTGGATCTTTTATGTTGCCAAAGTTTCATTTTAGTCTTAGATATATCGAAGTTAAAAGCTATTGTTTCTTATTTTTCAGCATTTCTTGCTTCTCGATACCCTAGCTACAAAGAATGTCAAGAAAAAAAGTCGGAAGAGTCTATCAAGCGGCTTCTATTTAAAAGTTTGTCGCTCAAATCTCCAAATACTTGTATCTGTACGGCCTTAACTAAACCAATTTGTCTTCCTAGAAGAAAACGACGACGATAATAAATTATTTATTATTGTATTACTTTAATGAGTAATCTTACTTTATATAGGGATACTAAACCTTTCAAAACTTTTTATTACAATGGTTAGCATAATGTTGATACGTGAGTATCCAGGCATTTAATTAAATACGTACTTCGAGTAGTATTTTTTTAATAAAATTCGCTTCCTCAATTAAGATATATTAAAATATTCCTACATTTTAAATATATTAAAACATATACTACAAATAAAACAAAAGAGTATTAAATTGTTACATCTGCACCATCTGGAAATTACACGTGTTTCAAACTGCGTTAACTGCAATAACATTATATAAAATATAATGTTAAAATATTTAATGTATGACTAGATAATATACTAACAATATATTCGTCGCTGCCTAATGTGTATAATTTTCGATTTTTTAAATAATTTCAAATTTTAGAAAAAGTGTTGTTAAAACTGTATACCAGTTTCAATATTTTAAAAACTGGAGAATAAAATTTTACCCTATTTACTGAATTGAATTCTCAACTATAATTTTCAATTAAATAATTACAATATCACACAAGATTTATGTCACTCCAGTCTGGATCAACTTAACGTTTAATTTTTATGCACATGCAATAAAAGTAAGCATTTCGTTAGTAAATTGTAATTACATTAATAATAGAGACAGAAGAAATTTTCTATGGACATTTCTTATTTCTAGAATTAGAATTTCTAGAATTAGAATTTCTTTTTTCGAATTTCTTCCATCTCCCAACTATTTGCGCGTAAGGAAATCATCTCTTTTCCTCTTCTACTTTTCTAACGCCAGTCTCAAGAAATGACGGATGACAGCTGATGTATGAAAGATGAAGATTACGAACGGAAGGGAGGATACGGAAGGATGCTCTCTTTTGGCATCGATTTTCGGAAATGTTACTTCATGAAAACAAAATTTTCACTCTTTTTTTGAAGCAGTAACTCATTCCGGATAAATATTGAAATTCTTGCTATCTAAATTTTTGCTGAAAGTTTGAAATCCTTGATAACATTGTTGAAATACCAACATTTTAGAACATTTAAATTCTTTAAAGAATCAATAATTTCTAAATAATGCAGATATTAATAGAAAATCTTTATATTCTCTTTACATAATATTCATTACATGCAAATTTTAATAACATATACATCTAATAATTATACGTATACATATAAAAATCTATCGAATCTTGAGACTATCTTTTTTTGTCAAAATTGACTGAATAATTTCTCACATACTTTTTCCAATGAAAATCTGACAAGTGTCGGAGTTTTCACAATGGCGGAAATGAAAATCGATAGCACGAAGCGTGGCTTGATCAAGTGTAATGTGCTCGGAGAATCGAATAATAATTGTTTAATCGCCCGTATCTTTACAAACTTTACTAATAGCTGAAAGTACGAAATTCTATAGACTTTACCTAAAACTATTGAGAAGATTCTCAATCTGTAATGACAGTTAGATTTGTTTTGTGATGTTAGCGTAATTTGTCAATGCTCGAAAAGTCAAAAGATAAATAAAATCTTAAATATTTTTCTAAACGTGCAAAGAAATCTCAATATCGAATAATTTTCTACAATATCTATAAGAGAATAGCCAGAAATAACATGTCCTCAAAATAAAATAATGTCATATATTTCTCATTAACACTAGATTATTAAAATTATTACAAATTTGATATCAATAATATCAATCATATTATCAATCGGCACAAAACAGTACGACGTAATAATAAAGAGCAATCTAATTTTTTTGTATTTTGATGTCTGTTTATTTACGTTTTACCTCATGTTGCAGTTACTTCTATAAAAAAAACTTGTAATGTCTTCGATATCTTTAAATTAGAATTTATTTCTATGTTTTCGTAATCTCTGATAATTAAAAATAATCCATACTTCACTAATATATCTGTTGTTTTACATCAAATATATTCTTTAATTTTATTCTAGGGCTTCAAGATGGATTCGGATTTAAAGCTATCCGGATATATCTGTTTATCCAAATTACGAATAAATGTGATACTTCAAATTCGGGTTATCCGGAGATTTGAATTTTCTAAGATATCCGAATCTCAATCCGAATAGTAAAAGTCGAACCCATATCCGGTTCTCAGATTTGGTTCCGTTTTCGTAGCAAACTTATAGCGAATTCGGTTGGATGCATTAGTGCGGACTGACAAGTAAACCTACAGAAGTGTCACTCACCGATTTTAATGAAACTTTCGATATTTGTAGAACTCTGAAAAATATTTGACACGTATTTTTTTTTATCAGCAAAGGTTCGCTCTGAAGGGTGGAAACTATTCCTTAAAGGTAAAGGGTAGATTTAATATATTATGTGTGAAATAAGCCATATTGGGTCGGCTATTTTGAATTTCATACTTTTGACATAAGATTTAGTTTCAGCGATCCCAAAAACCCCCTAACCCATTTTACTTTTTAAAATTTTTAACTTATTTTACCTAACATATTAAATCTATTCCTTACCTTTAAGGGATAGTTTTCACCCTTCAGAGCGAACCTTTACCGATAAAAAAAATAAGTGTCAAATATTTTTCATAGTTTTACAAATATGCAAAGTTTCATTAAAATCGATGAATAACACTTCCGTAGGTTTACTTGTGAATGCATATTAAAATAATTATACACTTATTTAATCTGAGTGTAAAAATGAGATACAAATATTTCTCTTATTAGCCTTATACACCTTTGTTATTACTATTTTAAAATTGAGAGTCTATTCTAAACATTTATATATTTATAAACAATATTAAATTTCATAGGACATATATGTGAGAAACACAACCCATAGAAACAAATGTCTTAAGGGGTAACACCTATGTAATCGGTCCTATAAATAAGGTTTACGTTTGGGAATTTTTTTTTGTTTAACGGATCGTGCTATTAAAAAATGAGTTTTATAACTTTATTAAGCATATAAAAACGTACAAAAAATAATTTTTTCAGAATTTTATTTATCAAAATGGCGGATCTACAGCAGCGTGATGGAGACAGTCGAAATAACATGGTATTCCGAGGCTAGCAGCACAAGTGTCGTAATTTTTGGTTTAGAACAAAAAACAAATTTTTCTTATTTTCTTTACTCAAATATCTACAGAAATACGTAGCCGTTTTTCAAAATATTAATTTTTGACAAAATGGCGGAAGTATAAACAAAAAGTTCCATTTTCACAAAAATAGTTGAGTAAAATCAGCTGTAACTCAAAAAATTTGTAACTTATCAAAAAAATTCTACGTATTTCTTTAGAAAATGTGATTTGTTAAATACTGTTAAAATTTGAAGTAAATAGGTTAAAAATTGTTTGAGTTCTACTGCTAGCCAACTTAAAAAATACTTTTTTGAGAAAAACGCGTTTGAAGTTTTGAATGTGAATACTTTTAAGTTAACAATTGAATTTTTAGAAGCTTATAACTTTCGAAAAAAATTATGTACTGCAATAAAACCACTTGCACTTCATTTTTGAGACTCTGAAAGGTATTTTAAAAGGAAAAAAAAATCGATTTTTTGAAAATTTTACATAGGTGTTACCCCTAAACGGTCTAGCTGGATTTTAAGTGCTTGTATAATTCTGTGTGAATCTATATTTATATTTTATTTTTTTAATTTTATTTTTCTATAATATATTTATATTATTTAATTTTATTTATTTATCTATATTTATATTTTTTAATTTTATTTTTCTTCAATTATATATGTGAATCAAAATTCAATTTTTATTTAAAAAGTAACTTATGTATGTTAAAATTCATTAAATACATCGATGTTTTCTTTTTTTCTGGACATAGATATAAATCCGGAGCCAAATTTAAATCTGAATTTAGATCCGGATCCAAATTCAGATCCACGGATCCGAATTATCGGAATAATACGATTTTGAATTCTCGGATTGGAATCGATTTCGAATATCTAGATATCTGAATATTTAGAAGCCCTATTTTATTCTCTTTCAATTTATTTTGAAAATAAAATACAAAAATTTAATATAAAAAAGTCAAAGGTAGGTATATATCTCCCAGTTCTATATATAATCCAGAATTTTCTTTCTAGTCTAATCTAAACTCTACCTTTATAAGAGTTGTTTATTATTACGCAACCTTGAGTCCAACTCGAAATTACTGTCGCGTGAACGAAAGCTCTCCTTGCCTCGACTTTCTCGTCGACTTCCTGCGAGGGCAATCGGCCGTACAAGAGAAGAGAAGAGACTCTAGCGAAATAAGGACGGAGAAGCGAAACTTCGCCGATAGTAATTCGTGACTCGACTTAGTGCAAAGTTCGCAAGGGTCCCAATTAACCGTGCATGGCCGCCCGGGGCCCTGCCAAGTACCTTCGTTTAGCGACGATCGTTCTTCCACCCGAAGGAATAACGAAAATTTTCCCAAATGCCGTCGGACGCGTGAGAGTATTTAGTACATATCTTAAAGGAAGAAAAATATTACTAGGACGAAAAAGAGCGCAAAAGTTCAACATAGTATACAGTACAGTATAGTTCCAATTCGACTCTTAAAAATTTACTTCCGGTCCTTAGAGATATTATTTTCTCTTGGCTGCACTAGTGCACATTGAGTACATGTTAAAGCCGTCGTATACAAATTGACATAAAGATGTATGTTTAATACGAGAAGTATAAAAACAGATTAAACCATGAAATCCTTAATATATTTTATTGTGCTATTAAGTAAAATCCTTAATACATTTTATTGTCAATAATAAGATTGAAAGACCGCTAATGTTAAACATAATACTTTAAATTAAGAAGCGCCATAACGGTCAGAACGTTAAGGTGTTGAACTATTGTAAATTCATTTAAATGAATTAATTTCAGAAATGATAATTGCATGCCAATATGGTTGTCGGACTTTCAACGCAATCAAATCTGAAAATATTAATAATCCCCCCAAATTTCCCAACTTAAAAACTGTAATAAACTTATTGCGAAAAATAATGCCCCGAAATTATCATTTCTGAAATTAATTTATTTAAATGAATTTACAATAGTTCAACATCTTAACGTTCTGACCGTTATGGCGTTTCTTAATTTAAAGTATTATGTTTAACATTAGCGGTCTTTCAATCTTATTATTGTTTATACACGCGCGCCGAGAAATGCGTAACTCTCTATATATATATCAATTATTGCGAAGAATAATGCTAAGGTCTCGGTAGTCTAAAGGCTTAGGACGCTCGCACGGAATGCAAGAGATCCGGGTTCGACTCCCGGCCGAGGCATTATTTTTCGCAATAAGTTTATTACAGTTTTTAAGTTGGGAAATTTGGGGGGATTATTAATATTTTCAGATTTGATTACGTTGAAAGTCCGACAACCATATCGGCACGCAATTATCATTTCTGAAATTAATTCATTTAAATGAATTTACAATAGTTCAACATCTTAACGTTCTGACATTTTATTGTGCTGTTAAGTAAAATCTGTAGTTTATAATTCGAAATATTTAAATTTTACTTCTACACAATTTAAATCAGTGTACAACAGCTTTAATATGTACTTTACAGTGTGCACTAGTGCAACATCAAGAGAAAACGGTAAGAGAAAAACAAAGAGATACCGTGCTACGCTCTTTCTATATTGTTTCGTTTAAATATTTAAAATTATAAGAACATAAGACCAACAGAACAATATGCAAGAAATAAATCATACTGATTTTCGAATCAGTTTCATTATCATACGAAAATATGTGCTCAATGGATACATTAATTCGAAAATTATTTGAATATTTCATAACTATGAAATTCTTTTAAAAGTAGCTTTTCTAATAGTTAGAAATACTCTAGCATACGGCCATTTTGTTGGATGGCAAGTCTATGTCACGTCATAAATAATTGGGAAAGGACATTATCGCGCAGGGCAGCGCAAAGGTAGAGTGTCGGACAGGGGTGCGGATTTATCATGCGGCTCTTCTTGTAAGCTTCCGCGCGGGCTGAGGTCGCCGCCATATTTTACCGAGAAGCCGGAATCTTTTGTCTTCATAATATTTATCCCACCGCGAATACCGAGAGTAATGGAGCGTGGGTCCCTAGAGAAACGAAGTAAAACCACCTTCTATCGGAAATAAGCTTAGAGCATATATAGACGACATCGAGGGTGAATATCGAGACAAATTCAAATGAAAGATTGATTCAACGAGAAGATTGTCCAATCTATCACAAACATAAGTATACAAACTGACTGAGGCAAATGAGAAAAAAATGAAAGGCGGCGTGTAACAGCTGGATATATGTAAAAATATTATTTGTTGATACTGTAGAGAGAGAAAGAGAGCAAATTATTTTATTGTTTGACGTGAGAAAATTAACGTATAAAATAATGCATATATACAAAGTGTCCCAATTTAAATAATGCATTAAGATTTCTCGAAAACTATAGTAGATACAAAAAAATGTTTCAAGTAAAAGTTGTATGGTACGGAGGGAGACATAAGAAGATACCATTGATTTGACCTTAGGTGGCGTCATTAAGGTCAGGTCATCATATCAATTTTTTTTAAATGGAATACCCTATTTTTGATACCAGAATTTAATAGCTGGTGTCAAGAACTTTTCGAAACACTATAATAAAGTTATTTTTCATTAAGTACTTTTCGAGTTCCCATATAGGAATTCCAGTCGTTTTCAATAGCGCCAATGTTTGGCACAATATATAGTAACCAACAGTTGGCCAATACTTGGTATTTTATTATGGGCCGTATCTGACATATGACTGGATACCACTGATTTCCGTAGTTTTGTCTGTTATATTTAATTCGTGCAATAGTTATATTAAATATGTCGCAAAATTATTACAGACAAAAAAAGCATCGAAATATAAATAATTAAAACTTAATAGTGATGAGTGTATCAATAATATTGAAAAAAATGACATAGACAATCACAGTGAAATTAATATTGACATTACGAACAGTGTAAATGAAGTTATGTTAGATCATAATGAAGAAAGTATTTATTTAAAAGGAGATAATATATATTGTGATTCTATTATATAAGCATTGTTAATTGTGATTCTATAACCATTGATAATTGTGATTCTATAATTGTGATTTTATTACACTGTGTTATCTGTGTCTCTTGTTGGAAAGCATTTAAAATAATTGGAATAATCACGACACTACATTAAAATTATTATTCCATTATTGGTCAAATATTGGCATGATAAGACAACCATTAATGGCCCAACATTATTTATCACGTTTGGCCAGTATAGTTACCCATTATCGGACCGAAGTTATCATCCCATAGTATTCCCATTAGTGGGCCAGTCATGGTCGCCATTATCGCGCCAATATAGGCTACCTGATAATCAATCTTGGGCCAGTATCGGGCCAATAGTAAAATCCTTGGTACTGTAACTTTCAAGCCTTATAACTCGAAAAGTACTTAATAAAAAATAACTTTACTATAGTGTTTTGAAAAGCTGTTGACACCAGCTATTAAATTCTGGCATCAAAAATAGGGTGTTCCATTTAAAAAAATCGATGTGACCTTGACTTGACCTTAACGACGCCACCCAAGCCTCAAATCAATGGTACCTTCTTATATCCCCTTCCGAACCATACAACTTTTGTTTGAAACATTTTTCCGTATCTAGCATTTTTGCGAAATCTTAGTGTATTAAATAAATTGGGACACCCTGTATATCAAAGTATTTATAAATGTATATACAGGGTGTAACTGAAATAATGCCTAATCATACAGTGCTATTTCTAATAAAAAAAACTAAGTCGAAAAGTCTCGTAACATTTTGCAATTTTCGCAATAGTTAACGAGATATTAATCTAAATTCTAAATATTGCCGAATAAACGAATAAAATCGATGTATAAGACAATTTTGAGATATCTTTCCGTGTTCTTTGTGAAATATTTTGAAGATTTTTTTTAAAGAACTCTTAAAGATATCTTAAAGTTGTCTTATATATCGATTTTAGACATTTTGTTCATTGGGTAACTAAATAAAATATTGCAAAAATTGCAAAATGGTAGAGAACTCTGCGCTTCAGTTTTTTATTAGAAATAGCACTATATGATTAGTGGGCGTTATTTCGATTACACCCTGTATATTTCCCATACTGATAAGTAATTAGATTGTGTCAAGGCAT